AAACTTTGATCCCTGAAATTTTTGGGCAATACCAATGTTCACTTTGTCTGGTTTTGTTGCAGCATGCCCCATATATATATTAATTTCAAAAGAAGGCATGTACGCATGAAGATCATTTTTACACTCTGATATGTGAAATCTTTTTTTATAAAAAAAAAAATGACAAGTGTAAAAGAAAGAAGAATTCATCATTTAAATAATTTTAAAAAAAGAAAAGGAAATCGCGGTGATAGTTTAAAAGCTCATGATGAAGAGAAGAATAAAGAAAAAACAAACGAAGAAGAATCTAAAGAACCTAGAAAACCTAAAAAAAAAGTAGCAGTTTTAGTTGGATTTTGTGGAACTGGATATCAAGGAATGCAAATGTTTGTATGAATTAATATTGATAATGATGGTACTAATAATTGGTTATAAAAAAATGTAATTAACAAATCAATTAATTAATGATTAAAGAAACCCTAGAGCAAGAACCATCGAAGATGAATTATTTAAAGCTTTTGTTGCTGTTGGTGCAGTCTCAAAAGATAATTCTGATGATCCAAAAAAAGCAAGTCTTAATATAATGAATTTTTTTAAAATCAAATAATAATAATAATATTTATTAATTTATATAGGTTAGTTTGATGCGTGCAGCAAGAACAGATAAAGGTGTTCATGCAGCAGGAAATTTGATTTCACTAAAGATATGTATAATAATTGTTATTGTTTTTATTATCACTTTGAGAATCTATTAAAAATACAATTGATCTTACAGAAAAAGTAAAAAAATTACATAAAAATTTTTTTACATGATTTTAGATATTCCAGATTTAGTTGAAAAAATTAACCAAAATCTTCCTGAACAAATTCGTATGTGGGGTAAATAAAAATTCCATTTTTATTTATATTTTTAAAAATATATTTGCACTTGTTAATTATTTATATTTATAGGATATGTTAAAGTTATTCGATCCTTTCACTCCAAAACACAATGCGATTCTCGAGTATATGAATATCTTATTCCAACTTATGTTTTCATTCCACCTTCTGCTGAAAAGAAATCATCTGATCATGATCGTTGTGAACAAGCGTCTACAAATACTTTAGGAAGTGAAATTTCACTAAACTCAAGTCATGATCGTTGTGAACAAGCGTCTACAAATACTTTAGAAAGTGAAATTTCACTAAACTTAAATCATGATCGTTGTGAACAAGCGTCTACAAATATTTTAGAAAGTGAAATTTCACTAAACTTAAATCATGATCGTTGTGAACAAGCGTCTACAAATACTTTAGAAAGTGAAATTTCACTAAGCTCAAATCATGATCGTTGTGAACAAGCGTCTACAAATATTTTAGAAAGTGAAATTTCACTAAACTCAATTGATGTAACTATGGTAGAAAAAGAATCACCAATATCAACAACATCATCAGCAGCAAAATTGGAAATGGAATCTTCTAATAATAGAATGAAATTTATCGAAGCACCTTTGGCTACAGCAGAAGAAATGATTGAAAAAAGAAAATATTGCATTACACCAGAGATGTTGGAATATATTAGACAAGGGTTTAAATTATATGAAGGAACGCATAATTATCATAATTTTACAATAGGTAGAAATCCTTTAGAAAAAAGTTGTAATAGATTTATTATAAATGTCGAGGTGAATTATAATGATATTGTTATTTGCTATTATTATTGAAAGATAATTTTTTACTGATCTCATATTTTAAAAATTTAATAAAGGTTGGTGAACCTAAAATAATTAATGATACCGAATGGTTAAGTCTGAAGGTTCATGGGCAATCGTTTATGTTACATCAAATACGAAAGATGGTTGGTGAGCAATAATTATACAAGTTTTTTATTTACAAGATTTGTAATTAAATCATCAATTAGTGTTGATTTTAATTTTTTTTTAAAAAATAGCTTTAATAGTTATGGTTGCAAGAACCATGACGCCACTTTCTTTGATTCCGAAAACGTTTGGTGCAACCAAAATCAATATTCCTAAAGCGCCTGCATTAGGTTTATTGTTGGAAAATGTAAATAATTGATTTATTGGTGGGTTTGTTGCTGGTTGGTTGTAATTAATTTTTTTTTGTTTGTATTTATAGCCCGTATTCAGTTCATATAATAAGAGAGCAAAAGATAATGGTAGAGACTTGATAGAATTCCAAGCTTATAAAGTAAATATAGAAGAATAATATCGATATATTGATTGATTGGTTAATTTAATTTATTAATTATTTTATTGGTTAATGTTAATTGTCATTTCCTAGGATAAAATTGAGGAGTTCAAGAATAAATTTATATATTCTAAAATTTACGAAGAAGAATTTTCCGAATATTCGTACGTAATTATTTAATTTTCATAAAATATTTTCATTATTTAATAACCTTTACGTCTTCTGTTAAACATAAACATAGATTTCAAAATTGGATTAATTCAATTGACGCACACGCAGAACGTGACTTTGGATATTTAAATCCTGAAGGAATCATACCAGAAAGCGCAATAGTAAAACCAATCGATAGACAAAAGAATTCCTCTAAAAATAAATATGATGATGATGATGATGATGACGACAATGACGACATCGAAGAAGAAGACGATTGAACTTTATTTTGTCATTGAAGCCTTTGCCTCGAATAAAATTGAGAAATTGAAATATTATTCAGGCGATAAATATTCTAATGCCAATCCATACCTTTTTTAACATAGTTTTTTGCGATTGAATTCAATATAGGCGATCCATAAAGAAAATTTTTTTTTGATATTTTCTATTTTTATTCAAAAAGTTTATTTGTTGTCATCATTTCATTGTTCACGCAAATCTACATGTATAATATTATGTATAAAAATATTTATAGACATATTAAATTCTACCACCCATCAATTATATCGAGTTTCTCCGCATATTATTATTATTATATATGATTTTGTTAAAAATAAAAAAAAACCTGTTTGTTTGATTGATTAATATGTTAACTGACTAACTTTTTTTCATTTTTCAAGTTTTTTTTTCCGAAAATAACTATTTAAATAATAAATAAATGAATTCATTTTGTTCTCACTATTATTTTTTCTCCGTTCTGAAAATTTCATAATATAATGTCATTCGATAATAATAATAATATCACCACCACCATACAACAACAAAATAATCAAGAAGACAGCGACGACGACGACAACAACAAAAATATGGATTACAACAACAATCATAAAATTTATAACAACGGTAATAATAATAGTATTAGTGGCAGTACATTTAATTTTGATGATTATGAATATGAAGAGCTGCGGCTAAAAGAGGGAAAGGTGAAGCTAATTGTGTTATCGATAATCGGCTTATTAACTATAACTTATGGTGCTTGGAACGTTTGGCGTATGGTGGAAGCAGTAAAATCTCCAGTGGCAGCTTTAAAAACCTCCACAAGAACTACTATACCTGTAAGAATTACAATTTTCTAAATAAAAAAAAAGATAGAAATATTTTTCTATTATTACACAAGCATCCTTTACTCTTGGTCAACTAACGATTTATTATTATTATGCTGTTTGTTATAATATTAGGTGCCAGGTGTTGTAATGTGTGGAAAAACCTTGGATAGACCCGTTAAATGTTATAAAAGTGCCTTTAATTTTGCTGATGATGATTATGAAAAAGTTGGTTAATGATCTGCGCGTGATTTTCATTTTAATATTATTACTATCATTACTATTACATTTTTAATAAAGGATTATGAACCAAAAATATGTATATAGGGAGAAAGTTGTGATGATTATGTAACGAATCATAGAATGGACGCATCACATTTTAAAAATATGAATGGATTCGATAACCTTGATACATTATTTTGCTGTAAGAATCACTAGAATCATAATATGATTAAGTTTAATCAAGAAAAATTTTTAAAAAAATTTTTTTTTTCAATTTCTCAATTCAGATATTTTCAATCCTTCACAAAAGGTTAATGGATCGTACGGCGAAGATCCTTTATTGTTTAATGATCAAACTCAAAAAGTTAATTTTGCATTATGGTCAAGTGAAAATGCAAATAATACGGTAATTCATCATTGTCATGATAATATTTTTGAATTATTCTTTTTTAATACTTGGAACTTTTTTTTTTTATTAGTTAGGAGCAATAACAGCCGATAGATGGTTTTTCTATGGAATATTTAATGAACAAGAAGATCCAACCAAAGTTCGATTTCAAATTGTGAAAATGGTAAAATATATAAAAACAATAATGAACAAACTTGCCTTCTATTCATTTCTTTAACACCATTTCTTTTCTTTTTTTTTTTTAGCCATCAATCTCATATTTATATTATACAAGAACAGAAATATACAATGGATTGAGATCAGATGCAATAATTGGTGGTATTACTACAAGTAATGGTGGTACTGCAATTTCTAATACTGGCAAATCAAACACTTCAAAAAAATTAGTGGGAATTAATTTAGAAACTAAATTCGCATCATTTGATATATCCGGATTCGGTATTAGTCCAAATCTATGGGAATTATTTAGAGTAATACCTGAGTATTCGGAAAATAATGATGGTTATCAAGTGAATTTTTTGTGGAATCGAATTGAATTCACCCTGTTACAATTGGCCGCTAATATGGGTGGGTTTGTTAGTATTTTGAGTGCCATCTATTTTATATTATTTGGATCTAGAAGAGTCAATCCTTGGGGAATTATGCAACGCTATGTAAGTAAATATGTGTGCGCGCGCGTGTGTATGTGAAGAGACTAAAAATTGATTTTTAATAATAGGATAAATTTCAATGCTAATTATTCGTTTTTTTTTTTTTTTTTTTTAGGTACTTAAAACTGTACCAAGTTCATTGCCAGTTTATTCACAACTATACTCACAACCTGGTCAAAACATCTCATTACAAAGTCAACAAAATTTACAAGATGATGATGACAATGATCACGATCAAAAACAAGGAGTCCAAGGAGACCAAAATCAAGAAAATCTACATCAAATACGACAAAATCCAAATATTGATGATTCGATTGATATCATAGAACACCGACAACAAAATGTTAATGATACAATTGATACCACAAAGTACAGACAACAAAATATCAATAATCCTGACATTTCATCAATGATTCCTCAAAGGGTCGAAACACTTCCAATTGATTTACCAATACGAAATGTACACAGCTATCGAGTATCAGATTATATACCACCATTGATGATAAAAAGACCAACAAATGATAACGATAATAATAGCAAAGAATCACTAGATCTAACAAGAGAAACAGAAAATTATAGTATACCACCACCACAATCTTCAACGTCATTTTCATCACCGTCCCCACTATTTACAACGACGTCACAACAAAGTAGCTCAATGAATTATCAACAAAATAATCCACAATCATCCGACTACTTTCAGCATCATCCACACTTATATCGTCATTCGATTTCAACAACACCAATGTTTTCATCACAATCACCACAATATTTACCATCACATGCTTATTCATCACAATCTCCACCTTCACCACCATTTACTACATTTCCTGCAACACTACCACCGCCTCCTCTTCCTCCTCATCCTTTGATGATTGATTTGGATGATGCTAGAATACAAAAATTAAGAAATGAACTAAAAGCTGATGTACAACGAACAATTGCAGCCGAATTAACAAGATTAAGATTATTCTTGAGTAAATATTATCTTAAAGATGTTTTTAAAACTGAATAATTGTTGATTGATTTAGTCGAAAATATATATTTTTAGTGAATGTTTATAAAATTAATGTACAAGAAAAATTTTTTTTTGATATGTATATATGAATTCTCTCTTGTATCATAAATTTTTACCTTCCTCTCCCAGATTTCTCATCTCATATGACAATATAATAAAATTTGCTTCCCCCAATTTGCTCACTAACATCAACCTTATGTTTCTTTTTTCTTTTAAATAAAATAATCCTCGCTTCCATATTAATATGATGGTGACATGACATAATGACGATGACATGATTTACATCGAAAATATTTAATCCATTGTGATTTACATAGTGGTAATATATTATTGCAAGGAGGTTGTTGTTACATTACAGATTTAGGATTATGAGGACCAATTGATGAAAAATCTTCAAATAAAATCTATGGAGTTGTGCCATATGTTGCACCTGAACTATTTAGAGGTAAAAGGAATACTACAAGAAACAGATATTTATAGCATTGGGATGTTAATGTGGAAAATATTTGCAGGTCATCCACCATTTAATGATAGAGCTCACAATCATTGTTTAATTTTTGATATATGTGTAGAAGGTTTACGACCACCAACATTACCAGGAATGCCTAATGATTATGTGCAAATGATGTAAAAGTGTTGGGATGTGGTGGATCCATCAAAAAGATCAACTAGTAGAGAGCTTTATGAATTTGCTATTAATTAAATTCGTGGAAATGGTGATGATAATAATAATAGTATTATAAGTAGTAGTGTTACTAGTAGTGATTCACAACAAGTACACAAATCACACCAGATGCATATCATAAAAGTAGAATCTTAGATGATGAGATTGCTAAATCTAAAAATTTAAAAAGTTATGCAAGTAATAGTTCATTAAATAATCTTGATTGTAACTCTTTTCTCTAAAATGCTAACAAAGGCGAATAAAAATTTTCATTATTAACTAATTATTTGGAAATTACTATATACCTCTATCCATTGCTAACAATATTTTTAAACATTAGATTCTAGTAATAAATAGAAACAAAAGAATTGTTTATTATTTTTTTTTTATTTTTTTTTAAAGCTAAATTAAATAGTCGGTTAATATTGACTAGCTGATTATGGGCTACCCTTGTCGGTTAATTGCGATTAACTTACAATAATTCGGTACTTGTCAATTAACTAGTTTACTTGGTTCTTGTTTATATTTATTGGCCGATTGCAAGCTCACTTCAGTATCTTGTTTAACAGCCTCACGTTTATGATTACCAGTATTTTCAATTAACCATTGGACGATACTTCAATTGCCTTTATCAAAGTGCTTTAAACGAAGAAAATAAATTACAACGTTTTTCTTTTTCTTTGCTTGGACCCAAAATCATTCCCTATTCAAATTAATTGATCACTACAATAAAGGTTTATTATTGTAAAGTAACTTGATTAATCAAAGATAATAATTGTGTTGTATAGGTCTACATTAAAAATTAGTTGACCCTGGAATACAAGCACTCGATGATTTTATCTACCCCGCCCGATCATGTATATATCACGTTATTAATATTAATGCAAGAGATGTTCGAGTTTGGTGGTAAATGAGTGTGTGGAAACTGAATTTGTATTCAGAAAAGAAAGATTCAGCTCCTTGGGAACAACTGATGAAACAAAGGAGAGATTGAAAAATATAAAAATATAAAATTGAAGAGGAGACCTTGGAATATATATTTATATGTTTTTTTTTTGTAAGCTTTTATATTTTATTCTTAGCCTTTGAAGCAATTTTACTTGTGTCATTTTGACTTAATTGCAGCGAATTTGACGAACAACATTAGAAGGCTGTATCAGTTTACAATTACAGTCCTTTTAATACTTGGATATCTGGAAATGACACAATTAATAACTTTATTCAACAATTAATGTCAAACGAATCATCTTTGCCAAACTATATTTTAAGAATGGATACCTTTTGAGCAATTTGAAGGTATAACCTTTTGCATATTAATATGCTATTAACCAGGCCAAAATTATTGCATTTTTATTTAAATAACGTTCTTACAATATATATACAGTATAATAATGAGCTTTTATGTAGTTATGCTATCAAAATCAAAAGCTACAAAAAAATTAAATAAAATAAACATAAAAAAAACAAATGGATTCTGAATAAAATAAAAAAACATCGATCAGAAAAACTATATAACATGAAGATAAAACAAATTCGACATACATATCTTTATATTTTCAATGAAATTATCAGAAATCATTCTTTTTTACACCTTTTTCCATATAAGTAACACGTCGTTTTAAACTATCTAATTCTGATTCCTTATCATTTTTATCTTTCCATTTTCCGTTGATATAAAAAGATATTGCGGTTTTAGACTTGCCTAAGAAACTCTCGATTAATCTAGTAAAAGATATAATAGAAATACAAGTGTTACTAGTAAGTAGATAACCCGATGCAAAAGCTGGATAGGTAATTAGCATCGCCAAAATAACGCTACTCCATATCTTTGTTATCTGCCTCCATTTTACTGCATGTCCAATTATGATTAAAATAACTAGCAGAATACTTAGATAAGTAACAACGGAATTTAATATTCCACATATATTGCATAAGCCATATCCAAATTCTTCAATGCAAATTTCACTAATATAAGTGTATATTTTAAAGGTCTACAATTTTTCAAAATACGGACCAATATTCAAATCCCCATATAAAGTTCCATCGTATGCACTTATAACCAAACTAATAAGCGTCCAGACATGCAAGCAAAAAAGTACCAGATTTATTCAGAAAGATGATGAGGTAACAGTTTAAGAATCCTTTCTAATGAATGAATGATCAAAATGATCTTACCGAAGCACAGAAATCAATTATAATAAATATTTTTGGGGAAGATAGCTTAGATCTTTTTTTCTTAATCATTATGATTTTAGTTTAAAAAAAAAGAAAAATTATTTAAATAGATTGATTTTATTTATTTCTATATGATGAATTGTGATAACTAATTACGTTAGACTATTGATATATAATTGGATATAAAAAACGATATATAAATTTTCTTTTTTCTTTTAATTTCTTTTCTTTTCCTTCTTCAGATGAGCAAAATAAAGATTTTGCAATTTTTCCAATTTCATAAGTATCTAAAGAATCATTCATAGAAGAAATAATCTCTTCAATTTTTTGATGTAATGTATGTTCTTCATTGTTATTTTCGTCACGATCAATTTTATTATTGTTGTAGTTTTTGCTATAGCGATAATATTTACTTTTATTATTATGAAAATTTCTTGTTAATATTTTCATTGATAATCTCTTGTTTATACTCTTGATTGTTGTAGCTGTGATAGCTGATGATAATGTTGTTGATGATGATGTAGATGTTGATGTTGTTGTTGTTGTTGTTGTTGTTGTTGTTATTGTTGTTGTTGTTGATGATGATGATGGTGATGATGGTGATGATGGTGATGATGATGATGGTGATGATGATGATGGTGATGATGATGATGATGATGATGATGATGATGATGATGATGACTGTGATGAGTTTGTAAAATTTTTTTGATTATTTATAATCTTTTTTAATAGTTCTTTTGATATGTTAGATACAGAATTTTTGATTTCATCAGAAATTATACATAAATAAATCAGTGTTTTAACCAATTCGTTACTGTCATCATCATCATTGTTGTTGTCTTTATTATTATCATTTAATCCTATCAAAGAAGTTATAGATTTCAACATATGGATCTGTATTGAAATTAAACTTAACCTATTAATTAATAAATTAGTTTTTATGTCAATATCAATGTCAATATCACCATTACCATTACCATTATTACCAGTACCATTATTATCATTGGTTATTGCTTTTGATGATCATGATATGATTTCACTTTGTATAGAAGATGTTAAACCAGATGATAAAGAATTATAAAATATTGATCGGTCTATATAATTATGAAATGTTTCGTTGAATGATGAACATTGAATCCATGAAAATATTGAAAATTTATCTATGATCTGATTGATCCTAATGCTTATTATGTGAAACAATGTTATTAAAGGTGAAAACCTTGGTACATATAAAGAGAATTGTTTTTCTGTATAGAAATAAGGAACTTCTTTATCTACTGATTCGTAAATAGAATCAATTAAATGTAAAGCTCTCATGCTATTAATTTGTTTCACTTGCAGTTTATTATATTTTTTTTTGTTCCTATTCTTAATGTCAACAATTTTATCTTCTTCATCTTCTTCATCATCTTTGTTTAATTTATTTTTTTTAATTTTAATAGTAATATTAGCAAAGTTTTTAACAACTTGTGGAACCGTTAATTCATATAATTTACCAATTTCACCTCTGATACTAAGTTTAGCTAAAGATTCTGAGAAGTTACGAATTGCAGATATTTCATTTTTATCAATATTAATATCTTCTATCGGATAATTATCAAAATTTATTAACGATTGTTGAATATATTCAAAAATATTATTATTATGATTGGCTTTTTCTTGATGATTTGATGATTCCGTTGTAGTTATTGGTGTTGATGTTTTTGTGATTTTTACTGAAAATAATAATGTAAAAAACAAATTATAAATAATTATAAGATTTATTTTAAATTCCATTGTTTTTTTTAAAAAAAAAAAAAGAATGAAAAATATTGTGCAACTTCAAATCTCAATTTTTTATTATTTTGCACCTAATGCCTACTATTACTACATTATTACTATCACTATTAATGTAATTAAGATTAAGATTAAGACTATTATTATTGCAATCATTATGATTAAAGATTATAATCATGTTTCCAAATTTGATGAAAATGATGAATTAACATTAATCGAATTTAAGTCATTCTCATTATTAAAAATTAGATTTTGTAAATTTTCATAATTAAAATCTGAAATAAACTTATCAATATCACCAAATCCATTATTATTATTGTTGTTGTTGTTGTTGTTATCGTCACCATCGTCATTCGAAAAATAAGAAATAAAAGTAGGAAAAGAAGGTGTAGCGGTAGAAGAAAAATATTTGTCAGCAGATTTTTGATTTTTATCACGCGACAATGGTGACGATTCTTCACCATGAGGGACGATAGTTGATGATAATATATTCTTGGAAACATTAAGATTTTTGTTATCATTGTCGCTTGAATCCAAATTGTCAATAACATTATCATTATTGTTTGAATTGTGTGAAAGATTATTCACAAGATGCTTCAATTGTTTGAAATAAATAATATTATCTTTTTTTTGATACTGGGAGGCTCTATTGCTTGTCGGCATTATAACAAATATTTTTGTATGACCAGAATTATCATTCCAGGGAATAATTAATGGCTTTAAGCCCCATTTTTCATTAACTCTCTTGCTTTTGTCATTGTTGTTTACAAGGCTTGATTGATCAGATTGTAACCGATATACTTCAAAAGCATCGTAGGCTGATTTCCCATTAAAACAAATAAACTTTGGATGATATCTTTCTACTTTGTCAAGTAGATTTGGAATAGCTTGTATAATATCTGTCAAAGATAACTTTTTCTAAAGATAGGCAACGGCGATAATTATTATTATTATTATTATTATTATCTATATAATTAATAATTAACACACACATAAATATATATCTATATATCTTAAAGAATAACCTTTGATCGATGTTTTGGTCGATGAACCAAATTAATCAAACCACATTTAAAATCAATCGGTAAACGTTGGTCATCAACACAATTTATTTTTTCACCATTAGTAAACCCTTTTTTTGTTATGATTATTAATTATTTGATCAGATTTGATCAGATGGGATGAATGAGTGAATGAATGAATGAATGAAAAGAAGAAACTTACCACTTTCCATCAAACAATTATAAAACTCGTTTGTTTCACAAGAGTAATGATGTCCAGTTGATTGACTTTTCTTACCACTAAAAAGACCAACGAAAATAACTGTTATGTGCGTACAAATTAAATTAAAAATTGCCCCAAGAATAATAATATGATGATAATGATAACGAGAATAATAAATCACCGTCAAGATTATAATCTATAATATCAGCTACAGAAAGTTGATGATCAACATTTCTTTGGATAGTAACAGTTCTTTGATTTCGAATTAATTTATTGTCAATAATATTGTTGTTATTATTTCTACTTGATGATTTTTTAACAGAATATACTTTTTTATGATTTTTTATTAAATTATTCATTTTTTAAAAAAAAAAAGAAATAAAAACATTTTATTTTCAAATTATCAACTGTGGCACAAACTATAAAACAAACTTTAAAAAAGGTCTATTTATTTTACACTTTTAATACTAAGAAAAATCACCCTGTAAAAATCTCAATGTTTTTCTGTTATAGTTATTAAACTCGGTGTTTTTCCGTTTATAATAATAATAATAATAATAATAATAATAATAGTGCTTTTCTATATGTGAAAATAAATTCGAAATTCGTGTCACATGAATTGTTTAAAAATATCTCGTTATTATAATAAACTCGAACTTTGTTGTTAGAGTAAAATGTAAGTACTCCATTAAAGCTTTCTAATGAATACCTTTTCATATCGAAAGGTCTTCTCTACATGAATTCACGGCTGTTCAAAAACGAGATTACTTTTTCACTTCAAAACTCAGATTATTTCTCAATATCACTTTAAAAGACTTGATAGTAAATGAGAAGGTGTAAAATACTTTAAGCTTTCATATGATCATTACTTTATGGTCTGATTCATTTCATCGACAATCATTTCGTCGACACCCATTTCGTCGACACCCATTTCATCGAACGTTCATTTCGTCGAATGTTCATTTTGTCGAAAATTTATTTCGTCGAAAATTTGTTTCGTCGAAAGTTCATTTCGTCGAAAATTATTTCGTCACAAAAAAAAAACTTCATTAAACAAATTTCTCTTCACACTTCCCACACACCCCGCTTTCTTCACCTAATTTCTTAACTAACTTTCCACGCTCCTTACATCTAACTCGTTCGGATTAGTGATGAGAAGAATTTTGGAAAAGAAGCAACAAAAGCAATTTTAGGAGAATATTTATAAGAAAATTTACAAT